ACCTTTTTAGAAAAGAATAACAAATTCTCCTCCTCCTGGTTTCAAAAGTGTCAATATAGTGACAGACAAACATTTCACTCGCGCTGCATCGCCGAGGCAGATTCATAATGATTCTAAAACAATTGTAAAGCCCTAACCTGGTCACCAGCCTCTCCTATGGCTTCACGGGAGCTCCCCCGGCCCACTGTAAGCACTACAGCCGACCGAAAGTTTGGCCCGTCCTGCATGGTGATTTTGTCTTGCTGGGACTGGCTGACAGACTGTTTCCCAGCAAGACAAACTCACCGGGGCGGGCTCACCTTCCAGGCGGCTACAGTGCTTACAATGAGCCGAGGGAGCTCCCATGAAGCCACAAGAGAGGCTGGTTACGAGGCTACAGTACTTTTATCGATAACTTCCTTAAACCTACACGCAAATCGGTATGCAGAATACTCACGCCTTGGTTAGGATTAGAACCCGGGACTTCTGGCCCACAAACGGGATTTTCAACCGCTAGACTAGGGCACGATGGCCTGGTATGCTTCATAAGTTTACCTTATCTATTGTAGTGTATTTTGTACATATGCGATGCAGGAAATCACTAATGCTGCATGTTCTCCATGTGTACTACATTGTGGAAATGTCATATTAAAACTAGAAAGGCCAATATTTGCTTTGGAGCAAATACAGCGATGGGTTCACCACATTTTACGACATGGCAGGGAAAGAATGAGAAACACAAGGGAAAACAATGATTTACATTGATATAACTATAATATGAAGTAACATACAACTAAAACAACAGTTGGATAGCTATTCCCTACTTTATTGGTTAGGATTTTTAATTGCATAATGCAAACTGTTGATTTTCAAAAAAAAAAAACGTTACATGCCCCGCATTCCAATGCTGGAGCAGAAAAGCTTGAAATACCTACCAAAACACTTGAATAAAGACATACTGTCAGTATGGAAATGCTCTGTGCAGGTGTTAATCAAGTTAAATCCCAACAGCCAATCAGCAAAAAATGCTCTGTGCAGGTGGAAATGCTCTGTGCAGGTGTTAATCAAGTTAAATCCCAACAGCCAATCAGCAAGAAGTATAGAGGAAAGCTGCATGCCTATTGGTTGATGCCCTGCATTCCATTGTGATGACTCATGCCCAGACGTGGTAAAACACGGCACACTAACACACGTAATACATTGCTATAACACAGCCAAAAAACTCAAATAAAACCATCAGCCTGTATCACAAGAAATTTTAAAAAACGCCTAGGGGTATTTGCCCACTGTACCTCCATACCAAATTTCAGGACCTTAGGCCCTAAAAATGAAGAAGCTGAATCCGTTTAAACTAGAAAGGCCAACATTTGCTTCGGAGCAAATGTAGGAATTTCACTCCATACCCTTCCCTAAACAAAAATGAGAGATTCTAAATAAATCATACTGCAATTATACAAGGACAAGCTGTTTGAATCTCGACAGGTATTTACAAAACTGGCACTTGGCAATTATCTCCCTTTTTTTTACAAAGATACAACGACACGCACTTTAAATCTCGACAGCTTTACTTTACACTTTTGACGAGATTGTAACTACTACTAACGGAAGCGAAATTTTCACGGCCTGAGAAAAATGGACATGTTCACGGAAGTATATATTCACGGTGGTGACAGTTGCAGGAAAAAGAAAGTCCAGGAATTATTTCCTAACTGTAATGATAAGTTCACAATACAGAGGTGACAGTGAAAACCGTGAACATTGACCCCCCGCTTGCGTTGCGGTACAGTGAAAAAAATCGGGAATTACAGCAATCAATTTACTGAGTATGTTTGCTTAGTTTCCAGATGTTTTGTACTTGTAGTTTTTAAATGAACGAAAACCGATGCGCGCACAGATGTTACTTTTGTGACAACATCAAAGTGATTTTGGTTTGTATGTTGAAAAAATACAAAAGACTAACATTCGAAGTTATTGAAATTCTTGAGTAAGAACAATCAGTTTTGGAATGTTAAAAGCAAAGCAATGGATATTAAAACGAAAATGTTAAAAATTAAATGTTGAAATTGTTAAAATGTAAAATGGTTAAAATGGTTAAAATTGTTGAAATTGTTAAACATGTTAAAATTGTTAAAATTGTTAAAAATTGTAAAAAGGATAATTAAAAAATTGTAAAAAAGGATAATTAAAAATATCCAGTGTACCGGGGTTCGAACTCGTAATGTCTGGACTTGCAGCCCTGCGCGTTACCAACCGAGCTGTCTGGACACGTTTCCATTACTCTCTGCATTGTATGTCATATAAAGTGAACAACATGGCGGTAACGATCGCTTCAAGTACTAGTAAGGGACTTTCTAGGAGATACACTCTACAATTTTGGTGATTCTTCAGAAATCGATAACAGAATATATAATACTAGTCGGTGAAGATTGTGGAAAATTGTTGATACCGTGGCGCGCGCTTGCGCCGACGATACACATTACGTACCGTTGTTTAC